TTTCCAAAACAGCAGGCTTTTCAGAGAATTGTAAACACAAGATACAATATGAATTTTTAACTTCCTACAGTCAGCTTCACAGAGCCACATACTGTACATTCACAGGTGAGGTTCAGCCCGTCATCCACTACTTTATTTCAGTAATTACACAAGCATAATAAATACATCTGACTTTAAAGGTCACTTAAAATGAGTTATGATAATTTACAGTACAGTATGTTTCAGTACAAGTGCAAAAATAACTATTTGCTTAATTCTCATTCTTTCAGTTACTTTATCTGTAGGCTGTTTTGTGGTGAAGCTAGAGATCCAAGCACAGTATTTCTTCTCCCAGATGCAATATCTGGGAGAGCTGTCATGAAGAAGACTCTCTTTACAGTTGATCTCTTCTAAACAGGGCCAGAGCCCCTGACCTGCTCATTTATGACTGCTTTTCCTCTGTCCTAGGCTATTATGCACAGTGGAGCATGTTACAATTATTTGGGAAGTTTTAAAGTCGTTATGCTTGGGCCCTACCCCAGAAAATAAATCAGAGAAAAAAATCTTTCCAGGCTGGAGATTTAGCTCAGTGGTTTCGCTGCCGGCCTTGCAAGTGCAAGGTCCAGAGTTTGATCCCCGGTACCAAAAAAAAAATCTTTCCAAGTTTATCAGGCTATCAATGGCTTTTAAAAGTCATTCAGTTAAAACTGTACAACTCTTACTTATGACACCAAAAGCACAGTCAAAACACACACACGCTGTACTTCATAACAGAATGGATGTACCTGAGTTGAAAAACCAGACTGAGGTAATATAGAAGGAAAAAAGGGAGGTCCAAAACACCAGAAAATACAGATATGGAAGACTAATGCATAATAGATACCACCGAAAAAGTAAGAGGTGATTAGAACACAGTTGAGAAAATAATGGAAATATATTTAAAAATTCGTCCTAGCTGAATTAAAGGTCTTGTCTGCTACAATAACTCTGGCTAGGCTATATTCAGAAATACTTAAAACTCTATTCTCAAGGGATGTTTCAGTCAAGGCAGATATTGGGTAGTGGAGCTGTGCAGCATTTGAAATGCAACACATTCCATTGTCCTGCAAAAGTCTAGTAGGTTCTATTTGTGTCTAAGTACTCCAGGAGCTATGGAGATGAACAAGATGCAACAGACAGAGATCTAACTGCCAGGCACTTGCAGTTGCTAATAACAGTTAATAAGCCAGGGACTTCTCATGAACAGTTCAGGGATAAGAAAATGTCCTATCTTTTTCTGCTCATTCTTTGAAACATTTAAGCCAGAGGCCCATAGAAGGTCTTCAGTAATAGCTTACCTGGTCAACATCAGCATTTCTTGGCAGAAAATAAACAATATTATTAGTAATCTTCTGAGAAAGCCTGAAAATTTCAAAGGTGGGAAGCAGTTAAAGAAAAAAAAAAAGCAGTTTATTTCTGATCAAAAAGCAATGTTCTTTACTTATCATAACCTAAATATATTTTGCTATGTAGTAGAAGGCAAAAATTTAAATTCTCTAATGCAGTGGTGGCAAACCTATGGCCCATGTGCTACAATAGGCTGTTTATATCATTGAAAGCTCTAAAAGGTTCACCACTATTGCATGGAACCTAAAAGAGAATTAAATATGAGATTTGTACTTGAGCAGCTGAAAGACCCTGACAGGTCAGAGATTAGCAGAAGTTAAATCTAATTATCCCAGTAGTTAGATAGTCAAGTCAGAAATACAAACTTTTTCTGTCATTTCCTCACTGAGAAAATAGAATAGGGAATAGGAAAGCCTAATACCACCACCTTCTAGTAAAGAACAAAGTCAAGATA